TGGATAATACTACTATTAGCACATGCAAGTCTTTGGTGTAGACAGATGTATGTCTTCATTTCTGTTTAGTAGATTCCTAGGAGTGGAATTGCTGTGTTGTAGGGTGTTTATTTTTCCCAAGCAGCAGTACCATCTACATTCCTACACTGGGATGTAGGGATGTAAGGAGTTACACTCCTGGGGTTTGAAGTCCTCTTAGTTGGATTCATGCCATTTGGTCATTGGTTGAGCCCTGAATGTAATAGCTGTTGTACTGGTTAAAGAAATTGGTGCCCTAGCTAGTGGGAACTCATTGGTCTAACTGAATGGCACCCAAGGCGGGGAGGGCTCCCTGCCTGGAATCGTCTTTGTCTCCACTTCTGTGCACGTGCATGTCTGCTCAGGGAACCGGTTTGCCCCATTTGCAAATAACCAGTTTTTCCTTCTCCTGCTCTTCTCTCTATCTAGCTTCCTGCCTCATTTTCCCCCTGAGAGACATGATCTCCATGAATCTTTATGGGTTGTGGAGGGGTGATGGTCCGTCTTCTATAGCTGCTTCTTGGTTGAAAAGGGGTGTTGGCCCTACCTATTTGGGGATCAGAAAACGCTCGCCCTCTCTAAGTGGGAGAGCGGGAGTAGGGGCTAATGGTTGTGGTCAGTCCAAGGCGTATTAGTGGGTGTGTGGGCATCTGATCCAGGCAGTGTGCGGTGGGGGTCAGTGGCGGCTCCATGGGGTTGATATCCTTGTTGTACCATCATCTGTAGTTTTATGGATTCTTTTTTCATTTCCTGGCCAATGCACCATGATGTCGCAGGAGAATTCCAGGTCCTACTGGCTAGGTCCAAGTTCTTGGTTTTTTGAACAAAGAATTGNTCTCAAAGGCAACATTCCCAAACTGAATTCCTAGTCCATCAACTCTTGTCATAGTAACTCTGCAATAACTCTACCATCCACTGCAAAAGTGTTTTTGTTTTCTTTTTTAAATATCTTTAAGATGTAATTTACACACTGTAAAATTCACTCAATGTAAGTGTACAATTCAGTTATTTTTGGTAAATTTATATAGTTGCACACCTGTCACCACAATTCAATTTAAGAACATTTGTAACACCATAAAAATTCTAAGCAGTTTGCAGTTAACCCAGCTCACACCTTTAGCCCCAGATAACTACTGATCTTCTTTTTGTCTCTAAGTTTTCCTTTTGTGGACATTTCATATGAATGGAGTCGTACAATATGTGTTCTTTTGCATCTGGCTTCTTTCACTTGGTGTAATATTTTTGAAGTTCATTCATGTTGTAGCATGTATCAGTATTTTGTTATTTTTATTGCTGCATAGTATTCCATGGTACGGATATATCACATTTTGTTCATTCACCAGTTGATAGACATTTAAATTATTTGCTGTTTCTGGCTACTGTGGATAATACTACTATTAGCACATGCAAGTCTTTGGTGTAGACAGATGTATGTCTTCATTT